ATGATGAAGCAATATTTATTACGCAAACACTGTCAATATTTACATTCATGAGAGGAAAAGTATTTGCAGTGATGATTAAAAACTGAGAATCTTTTAATTTTACATTTATTTTGGGATAATAGAAATGAGTTGGTCCTTAATTATTTTTTTATTGCCTCAAGCACACAAAAACATAGATAACACTGTCATTATAAATAAATTAAAAAGAAAACCAAAATGGAAAATTTGTACACATCTGGTTCCATATATTTGATTTTTGTCAGCAGCTGGATCATGGAACAAGATATTCGAAACATTCTAAACATAGCAGCAAAGCTACAGCAAAGGGGCTGAAAAACAAACAAACATGGAGTTCCAGTCACTTGCACTGAAGTTGATTAAAAAATGTGCAGTAACATGTCAAAAACCTCTGAGCTGAAGCAATGCTGTAGAGGAAAACCATCCTTAGCAGTAGGAGAAACTAATAGTCATACAGAAAAATACCTTTCAGGACATTGCTGCTATTGAATCAGACTTTGTACTCAGTATTTGCACAAACATTTCCATTGTGCCCTCATCTTTTTTTTTTCCTTTTTCATTTTTTGAAGTGACATTGTGTAATTTCTCAGTTTCCATACTCTTGAGTTCACATTCAAGTAGTTCTAACATTTGTTAAAGTCAAAACTGTTTTCTAGCTAGCTGTTGTCATTTTACTTGATGGCAGACAATGTATATTTGGCTTTGAATGATTTCTTTTTTTGTATTTTAGCAAAGCTGTGAGACTTTTATGACTTTGTTGGATTGTGTTTTTTCTTTAGAAAAATTAAGTGCACTTGTCCTTTTTGCCAGATGTTAAGGCCAGTATCATTTAAAGCTAGATTGAAAAATGAACAGCCAATCCATGTGATTGTAGTAATTGGCAGTAATTACCACTCATAGGTGATAGGTAAATAATAATAAAAAAAAACATTAAAAGGTTTTTCTTTTGTATTTTTTTTCAGGAGATGATTTGTGAAACCAATAAGGAGGGTGAAAAAAAATCCAAAAAATGTATAGTTTTTGTAGGGATTGTATTGAGTTGAGAGAAACATAAGAAAAGTACAATATAAAAACTGCACTTAACAATACCAGAGGTATTCTAGATATGAAAATCACCTCTATGAAGGAGAAATTCATTTGAAAGTTATTGTCTTTGTGTGCAGCCAATTTCAGCAGCACTGATTCCTAGAAACATTTAAATGAAGCTTGCTTCAGGAAGTTGGTTTGTTTTTCAGAGTTGCATTTGTATATTTTAATCGGTGGCATACTTTATTAAATGTCAGAAAGCTATAGAACCTTGCAAAATTCAGACTGTTCCTAGAAAAAAAAACTTGATACTAAAAGATTGCCATTACTTTTGTCAAACGAAATGACTTTTTCCTTTTTCAATACATCACACGGTGGTATTTCCTTCCTCCTTGCCAGCCGTCTTTTATCCACTCTGACACCTTTTCAGCTTACCCAGTATGCTGCAGCAATTTTTATCTTCAGCTTCAAAAAAACCCACCTCCTTTGTGCACTGTACTGGCACCCAGTGGCTGCTCACATACAGTTCAAAGTGCTGCTGTTAGTTCTAATCCGACAACGCTACCAGGGGTTTACTACCCTATGATTGCTCAGTGTGAGTGACTGTTAACAGTCTCATCCTTAGCTTTTGCTTCACTGTCCGCCCCTCTCTGAGGTAAACTGACCATTGCTCTGTCATGCCTAGACTTTTCAGCCCATATTCAGGTTGGATGCTTTTTCTTCTGGTGTCTGAGAGGATAAACATTTTTAAAAACTCCAATAAATCCCAGATGAGACATTCTGAAAACAGCTGCCTGTGTGATTCAGCGTTTTGCCTGCCTACCCCACAGAATCATGCATTTTCCTCCAAAGAACTCCATAACAATGAATAGTGCATAGTGCAATCTAACTATAATATGTGCTGTTTCTTTTTCCCTTTTTTTTTTCTTTTTTGTTTCCAGTCTTTTCAAGTCTACATAAGTGCAGCAATGTTAAACACTCATAAATGCTTTGGGTAAAGTCAATAGTTTTTCTCTGACACGGAGACAGAGCAGCCTCTGGTGGTTACATTTATGATTGCGCTTGCCCCCTTCTCCACTGTAAAGTCAAGCATTTATTGATTATCACATTCCAGAGTTCAGACAATGTGGCTCTTGACTTTAGTTTATAACTGACTACCAATTTATACTATAATTAATCTTTAGCGATTACGCGTTAGTGACTTAAATTGCATCCTAGTAATTTAAATTGTGCTTTCACCTTTCTCAGCCTCTGCCCTTTCATAAATTAGACAGTTTTGCAAATATGTAATTCATTTTTCATGCTATCAGAATTATTTTTTTTGTTTTTAGTCATAATTTGTTTCTAGTCATCTTAAATTCAGATTTTTTTTAATGCATCCCTTAAATAATATAAATTACCTGTGTATCCATCCATCCATCCATCACTCTGTATCTCTATAAATCTATATGCTTATACATTTATGTATGAATGTGAAAACTAATTTTGTCTTTCAAAATATGTTGTAAAACTGCTTAATTAGGAGTCAGAAGAGTCTTCAAAAGCTTTGACCTGAAAAGGCTGCACACGCTCAATTAGCAGCCGAGGCGGAACAGAAACTCTGATAGCCTTTGTAAGCTTGGCACCAATGACTAGTATTTTAATTCAATTCTCTTTTCCTCTGGGAATTAGCAAGTATTTATTTCAGATTGTCTCTTACCACAAAGGAAACTTCTGAGTGAAGAAAAAGGGAATCCTATCGTATCCTTACACTTCCTTAAGCATGTTTATCAATGATATTGATCTGCAGTCAAACTGATAGCTTTAATATAACCATTCTTTTAATATTCATTTAACATTATGGTTTAAGCGTAAACGTGTCGACAGGCAAGCAGCATCTGCAACAAAATTACAGATACATTTTATGTCTTAAACTGAGATACACAGACTCAAAAGGATACAAACTGAGGCAGAAAAATCCATGCTCATCTATCATTACAGGTTCTGGGGAGTTTTCTTTTTCTTTTGGCACATTTTTTTTTTTTTTTTAACACTTTCAACCGATTTCAGAAAAGTGTAACTGAAGGATAGTAGGGCTGTAGGCAACAGAAAAAATCCAGAAAGGTTCACTGCTGGGTTTGAGACTGAGCACAGAACAAACAATTGTCACAGTCTGTCTGCAGGTAGAAATATTGAAGTTGACATCCGGCTGTGATAAAGAAAAAATGGATGTGAGACTGAAGGTGTTGCTTATTGTAGCAGTGAGATGGGCTATAGCAGTGCTCCCAGTGAAACGGTATAGCTGGAGAAAATGCATTGAAAAAAGTAAGAATGATACAATGAAAAAGTTTTCTAGTGTTTGTCTCAATAATTTGGGAGGCAAACATTAATTAACACTTGCCTTCTAAAAAACATATGTACTGTATGTGTTCCATTTATTTATTTGAAAAAATATTGTTTTTTACTGACTAAAAAACAATATTTATCTTCAACAAATGGAGAACTAAAACAAAAGAATGGAAAAAAGACACTAAAAAGAGAATTTATGTTCCAAATTTCTCAAGCTATCTTCATTTTTATTTTTGTCTTGCATACTCATTACTGAAGAGGCAGAAGGGTTTTATGTTGACACTATAGCAGGGAAAATAAGTACTGAACACATCAACATTTTTCTTCATGAGGCTAGAGAGCTGCACGGTATACTGAATGTGTTTGTCAATGTGTTCAATATTCTAATCACGAAGGAAATGCTTGAGTGCAATATTTTGGAGGCTATTAAATTTCAAGTGACATGCATGCAAATTTATTTATTTGGCCTGTTGAATGGAATTTCACTGCCCTTAATGCCCAGACCCAAATGCAGCTGTGATGCTAATGCTTGCAAAGAGTGTTAGAGACATTAAAAAAACAGGAGAAGATGGAAAAGATTCACAAAAGTGAACTAGCATTCTAGCAATACTCAGTAAGAACTTCAGCTACATGTTTTCGGATGGTTCATGGAGTTATGAGTGTATTTCTCATGGGGCTACTTGTATGCATTTCACACCAAATGAAATATGTTAATTTCTACACTTGAGAACAACACCAGATACGTAAAGCCACAGAAAGAAAAGTTAGTGTGGAGTATACTTGTATTACTCATTGTGTGTCGGTGTTAATGGCTCAAAACTTACATAGTTATAAACATGCATCCATGTATAGTTTATTATCAAAATGAATTTGGTTTAGTGTGTCGTAATATAACCAAATGTTGTGAAGCATCTTAGACTCTGTTTTGGGCAACCTTGCTTTTAAATGGGCACACCAAAGTGGCTAAAGAAGAGGAACGCCTCTCAGTATGTCAAGGACAGGCCACATCTAGGCTTGAAAATCCATATAGCTACAAATCATCTGGGTCCACGCGCCTTCTAAAGGTTCTTTGAGCCACAGCCTGAAGCTGGCTGATTTAGTTAGCAATCAATATGTTTTCTGTGAGCATAAGCCACGGTAATCTTTTTACAGCACCTCTCCTCTCGCTCTTTCCTCTTATCCATTGCCCTTGTAACCCTCAAATCTAACCATGCGGCTGTGATTGCTTCTGGAAGGCTTTGTGATTAGAGCAAGTAAAGGGGGAAGCAACAGGAAAAAGCTGGATAAAAGTTGATATCAGGAAGTAGTGAAAACCCAGAGTTTATGTGGCACAAGGAGTGAAACCTCTGCTCCTTTCATAAGATTCAAAAATGGATTAGAGGAATGGGTGCTTCTGCTTAACATGCTTCCATAATGCACTGAGAATCTTTTTGACATGACTTACAAATGCTTTATTTCAAGAAAAGTCCTCTATTTGCTAAACTATAAGGTAGCAGGACAAACAACCTGAATTTCTGAAAATTCTCAACTAGTTCATATGCAGAACAGATCAGGTAAATACATCATATATGGCATAAGGATTCCTTTAGAAATAAAATTCTTTCTTTCTTTTTTTTTTTTTATCTTAGGGACAACAACTATATTAAGGACTTTCCACAATTAGCCGATGGTCTCATGGTCATCCCCTTGCCAGTCGAGGAACAGTGTCGGGGAATCTTGTCAGAGCCATTACCCAATCTGCAGCTTCTGTCAGGTAAAAGGGATTCAAGGAGTTTTTATCCATATTTTCGCAACTTCATGAATAATAAAATCATTGGATTCATGTAATCTAGTCATGATTTTTGGCTTTTATAAATGTCAAGTCACTGGAAACTACTGTGTCAATGTGCACCTGAAATGAATTTAACCTGCAAAACAAACCAGCAACAGCTTAAGATTTATAGCAACATGTCATTCATAGAGTTTAAATTTGTGTAAAAGCACTACAAAAATGTTCGTAGTGATTTGTAAACAGAATCTCAAATGTGATGATAGCTTTGACAAATACTGTAGCTAAAGTCAAAACATTTTGAGATTATAAAAAATAAAATGTTTATTTGTATTCAAAAAATTAAAAAACGAATTATTTAGAATTAGATGTATTCTTTGAACTCTGGGAAGCATAAAGATTTCATCATAGTACTGATTTTAGTTAAGAATTGGTGCTTCTTACCACTTAAAAAGCAGGGATTGAGTTGAAATTAAGGGCAAGTTCTCTATGTAAAATATTTTCGTTATGAAGATTAATTGCAAAAAAAAAAAAAAAAAAAATCAAAATGTGAAATTCAGCAGCTGTTTTTACCTTTCCTGTTTCAAAATAATAGAGCTGACTATTTAAGAAATATACCATATGGCCTTAGGCCTTTTGGAAATAATGTCACCTTTCAGAGTTGTTGCTATTTGTTCAGAATAAGAAAATATACCATAGATATTGAGCATTTGCCAAATCTGTCACCTGATCTATGATTTTATCCTGTTATGTCACTGTATTTTCTGGATAGTCAGTCAGAGATTGTCTCAGACCTCCACCTGCACCTTTGCTCCCTAATCCGTCCATTAGCTAAATTGGCATTTGGGCCAAGCTGATCTCTAAAATCTTTTACTGGGGATCCGCTTTCACCACAATTGGACGCATGCGTACACAAAGTAAATTGCCCTTTTCTTCCCAGCGTGCGAATGTCTCAGGTGTAAATCGCTTCAGAGAGGCAAAAGGTCAAGATTCCTGTAAGCAGTTTCTTTGTTTATTTTCCCTTGCTCTTCACTTTTGTAGCTTTACTTCTAAACTGGTGTGAAAGTTAGGTAATTGAATTGCGCTGAAAGCCAAGATTGCTCGATTCTAATGGCAGCAATCCAATTGGAGTTCAAGCTGCACCGTATATCACCATTGATCCAGGAGCAGCTGGGTTGTGGGCTCTGATGATAAATGATGTTAAGGCAATATTGGGTTGTAATGGCTGTGCAATAAGCCTGTAATGATGAAAATAAAACAATGGATTTATTTAGGTTTTCATTTGTCATAAACTTCTACCTCTCTTTATGAGTCCTCCCCAGTAATTTGTTTAAATTCTTGTGTTTGTGGTATGTGCTCTTTTGTCTTCAGTTCTGTCTCCTTCCCGTTTTCTTTCTTCATCAGGCGATGCCCAGTTCAGTGAAGCGGTAGGCTATCCCATGGTTCAACAGTGGAGGGTGCGCAGTAATCTTTACAAAGTCAAACTCAGCTCGATAACCTTATCCACAGGTCAGTGACTGAAAAATGTAATTTGGATTTCATCGTTCATCACGTCACGAATATAAAAATCAGTCAACGCCTAAATAAATGTGACACCTCTGGTTTTAATCTGGCCAATGTGAAAATCTATTTACTTTTGTTCCATATCTTCATTTATTTGGTAGAATTTTCTAAGGTGCTGAAGACGCTTTCAGGTGAGAGCACACGCGAGGAGCTCCTTGCTTTTCTCCAGCAGTACGGCAGTCATTATGTGTCAGAGGCCCTTTATGGCTCCGAGCTCAGCTGCAGCATCTACTTTCCCAGCAAGAAGTCCCAGCAGCAGCTTTGGCTGCAGTACCAGAAAGGTGAGTAAACTCACCAAATTAGAGAATGGCAAAGTATCCGTAGGCCTAATTTGCAAAAGCATGGATGCAGAGCTACTGTCGCATGTTCTTTAAGCTGCCATGTGTATTGACTTATCTAAGGAACTAGTTTAAGTGGGTCTGAATATGAAGAAATGAAGCACATCTTGTATCAGGAAACTACATAAACCTGTTGCCTCGTACAGTGTGTGTACTGGAATGGAAGATGCAATTTACTCCCATGTTACTTTCTCCCTCATACTTAATAATTACTTGTCCATATGCAGATTGAGGATCAATGTTCTGCATGCCACCAAGTGGCCAAATTATTATTAATACAGCTAATCAAAACCTTCCTTCAACATGAACCACTTCAAGCATTTAGCATGCTCAGGTTAATGAATTCTAATCTGTGCAGACAGAGCTTCTGCATAGCTTGCCATTAAAGTCAGGTAAAGTTTTGATGGATCATTGATGTTAAATCTGAGTAGCACTTTCTTAAATTAGAAAGTCCTACTCAGTAAACACGTTCCTGTGTTTAGTCGATTACAATCCTCTCGCCACAAAATGTTTTAAAATGTCCACAAAACTTGCCAGACTGATAAAGTTAACGTTACAGAATCAGATTCGTCGAAAAGTGATGAAATCTTAATTATTTAGAACCACTATGTCTTTGCACATTACAGAAACAAACACATAGAAAATGTGAAACAATGTGACAGAGGGTATAATTAAAGTATTAAAGTGAATACAGGCATTGATGTTTGTTTGTGTGCCAGAAAAACCTCTGGTAGAAAGTGGGAGCTTGACCAAAAGAAAAAATAAATGTGTTGAATGGAATCTCTTTTAACATTGACCCGTTTTGACCATGTTTCCTTATTCTAAGAAAATGTTTGTAGAAAGACGTATGCAGTATGAATATGTTTCATTAAGGTTGAATCAATATCCCCGGTCTGTATACAGTATACAAGAAAGTAAGAAGGGTAAGTCAAATTATATTTGGTGGAATTAACAAGATAGAAGAGCACGGGAAGTTCTTTTTTGTTTTTTTGAGAAACAAAATAGTGCTTTTCATTCCAATTATTCTTGTTGTTTACCCATTAGTTGTTCTTTTCATTTTCTATTTGTTGGTGAAGGAAAACATTGAGTCATGAAAGAGATGACCCTTGGATGGATTAGCTACCTATCCAGAGTGGAGTTCATTGGTAGCTTGTAATTGGCTGGACTGTGACCACGAATAAGAAAACGAACGTGTTCAAAATATTTGGATGTTTTTTGTTTTGTTTTTTTTCCCTGGATTACCAATGTGCTGTACAAATAAATCCATGGGAGATATTTACTTCACTTTGTCTCAGACAAAACCTAGATTTTAAGTGTTTCTATGACCATTACGTGTTAGGACCAAAACAAATAAGTATTCAGACCTTTAAATAAAATGACAACAGCATAAAAAATACTTTAGAATGTGGATAAAAAAGTTTCTTCAGACACTACACATCTTGTTTATTATGTTATATTTTAGGAGTTCTGTGTAATTTCTTAGAAACAAACTCATTGGTATGAATACTTCAAAAATGAATAACAAAAACTACTGCAGATAATTTAGTTTACTGGTTGACAATGTTTATTGCACTCAGGATTATCAACAATACAAACATGATTTTGAGTACATCAATAAACGACATGGGAGTTTGATTCACTGTAAACAAAATGCTGTATAATAATATGAATGAACAACTCTGCATCTGTAATAAAGGATATAATTAGAGGATGTGAGATACTCAACAACTCACCACACTGAAACAAGGACACTTAACTTTTCAAGCATTTGAAACTTTTTTTTCTGTAACTGTTATTCTTGGTTATTTTGTTACTACTTAAAGTGATCACTAAGAGATTTTTAATGGTAATAATGGCATGCAGTTGATAGAGTATTAAGTACTGAGATGGATTTGCATGAAAATAAAGAGATGGACAAAGATGTAACGACACAAAGAAGACGCCTATGGCAAACTTGAACTTATACTCTAACCTTGCTTGTCTAGTTTTATTTTGTAATAGTCAGATTCGCTGCTATGCATGTTTTATGTTCCTCACAATAGATGGGGATAAATATGCAGAGTAAAGGTTGTCTTGGAAACATTACATTTTAGGTAATTATAGATTATGCTCTAATGAGCAAATCTGTATTGGGAAATGCAAATATACAGAAGACAGAGAATAATAAACAGAGTATTGAGAGTATACATGGAATCTAAGGAATCGACATACCATAGAGACTATTGTCAGGGTGTATGGAAAATCGCCTGCATTTTCACTGTAAACTTCAGGCCAGCATGCTGACAGAAGCCTCCTATATTTTCCCTTCATTTAAAAAACGAGAAAACACATCAACAATTTGGAAATATTTGGTGTTTTAAAAAAGAAGCAAACTTTTTAAAGTGTCTATGCATCTGTCCCTTTTTTCAAAATGCCATTTCATAACAAATTTGCAAATAATGAAAAGCATACCTGCAATCCAGCAGAACCAGTTAATATTAACTTGGTGAATTTCAAGGTGGTAAACTACTGCTAACTTTATAGGGTGATATTCTATTCTTGCATTTAATCACTATAAATGATAACAAAAATAATTATATTCAAAATAATATTTTAGTAGTATTATGAATACTTTCTGTTTTGCTTTTTAGAATAGCTGACATGTTATCCATTTTATATGTTATACTTGTGTAAATATTATGAATTTTAAATTTTTACTCAAGATTATCACATCGCATGGGTCTCTTGTGAGACCATGCCTAAACTCAGAGCATTCCATAGTTAAAGGATTAAAGACATGTTGTTGGCTTCAATGTGTCTAATTTTACTGCCAAAAATTGGGAGTACTTCATAGTTAATGTACAATACACAATGCCTTTGAATAAAACCCTAAGTGAAATGGTTCTTTACAGAAGGGAAAAGTAATTAAAAAAAAAAATAAAAAAAAAAACATTTGTTTTGTTGTACTTCTACTCATTTTTTTTGGTATTCTTAATATTGCTTTCAACTATGATCTTGACTGTGTCTGTGGATTGGCTCATACATCCACAATGACATGGTCCTCTGCATCTGGAGTAAAGCTCTGGTGTTACTAAGTTGCAGTGCAATTTTGCTTTTACTCAACAAGCCAAAACAACTGAGATCAAACTAAGTGATGTCACAGTGTTACGTATCAGCTCTGTGTGGTTATGTATATATGCATGTAAATATTAACATACCAGGTTTGGGTATTTTACATGGGAAGAACAAAAATCTTAGGCATGAGGACTTATATTCATTGCCTATGATAAGGTAACACTACAACTGTTCTTGGTAATGCCTCAAAGAACAACTGAGTGCATACCCATATTGCTAATTATATTGCTCTCTAGGCTTTATAACAATTTTTCTCTTCGACAAAATGAAATGAAATGTTTGGCATGATAATCAAGATTTAATGATTTCCTTCACAGATGCAACTCTGGCTTCTTCAAACTTTATTGAAACATTAATTCATTCCACTGCCAATTTCACACTAAAAAAATAAAAAGCAAAAACAAATATTAAATTATTCTTTTTAAAAATAACTCTACAAGTTCAGAGTTAAACTACTGGCTTCAAATATTGGACGCATTTATCTCCTGTTACAATTCTCACAAAAAGGTTCTTGACAGTGTAGCACTTCAGATAGTCTTGATAAATAGAAATGATTGCCTTTTATATTTGATCTTTTACCAAGTGAAAATTCTCTGTGATGATGCATCATAGTGAGACATAAACCACCTTCGAGACACTGAATGTTCAAGGTTGGTCCCTATGTTTCCTTGTCAGACTTTTGACCCAGTTCTGATGTACGTGTCTCTCCTGGAATAGCAAGAACACAAAGTATATTCTGTCTGATGACACGTTACCACTGAATAAAAGTTGTCAATAAACAATAATAAACCCCCAAAGAAAAGCGCCACAACTCAGCCAGTTGCATGTGAGTTATGTGGCACCAATTTACATCTTTGTTTTTCTCGCATTTTTGTGTTCACCTCCTGCAAAACTGCATTGTATGCAGTAAACATTATTTCATTCCTAATAAAATAAAAACCATGAAAAATTGATCAACATGCACTAGAAATTCCAAACACTTCCAGAATCTTGTCAAAAAGAAAATTCACCCAAGATTCCTCTAGTTCTCTAGCCTCCTAACAAGTCATGTATATTTGAAAGCATTTCTAATGATCAACCTCCCCAGATGCGTTGCATGTTTTCATCCTAATACAGCACTGAGACTGTTAGTAAATGGAAGACTACATTGTTTGTGATCCAATTACACACAAACAAATTGCACACCCTTTCCAAATTGCACTAACATGCTTAATGCATGTTTAAAAAACACGGTCTTTTTGTCTGTGTTTTACTAGTAGACTTGTACATATAAAATTGTCTCAAAAAGGCCTGAAATGGTATCATTTAGCACATCTTTTTCAAAATTTGGAAACTTGGAGAGGTATGTCCTATTTTAGTTTCCATCACTCAAATCATCGCACCTCATTTGGAATATAAGAACATCTCTTCTCTGGTTATTACACACACAGATCTACTAACTTTGAGAAATCTGGCACTGTGCTGGTGGAATCAAATGGAGATGAAGAGCTCTGACCCAGGCAATAAATCATGAATTGACTAAAATTTGGAGCAAGGCAGATGGACTTTGATTGCAGCATTGTATATTCAAGAAAATAAATATGATTAAGAAAGTAAAAACAACTAAAATCAAAAAGAAATTCTAAAATGTTAATTCAATAAATCTTAAACAGGTACATCTGACAACATATGAATATTGAGCGAAAGGTTTAATATTTTTGTCACTCATGTCAGAAAGTGATAATAATATATTAAGATATATAAGTGATATATGGATTTATTACACATAGTAATATTTCAAGCCCTTGTTTCTTTAATTTTGATAAATCTTTGTTTTTTTACAGAATAACTCAAATTTTAGTGTTTCCAAAAATGGGGTGTTTCCAAAAATGCTAATATAGTAATAGAGTTAAATATTGGCAAGTCATTGTGTCACACCTTAATCAGCTGATTAACTCAAAACACCTGCAAGGTTTTTCTTTTCTTAGCTTCTAAATGGTCTTAGTCTGAGTCAGTGGGCTGCACATGCATGGGGAAGAATGATGATTTAACATATGTTCAGAAGACAATCACTGACACCCTTCATAGTGAGGTAAGACACAAAAAGGCCATTTGTAAGAGTGCGTATCCAAATATGTACATGTACAAAGTTGAGTGAAAGAAAAAAGGTGCGGTAGGAAAAGGTGCAATAAGGAGAACCAGAGCCTTAAAAGGTATTGTCAAGCAAAATGCATTAAAGAATTGCGGAAGCTTCACGTCGGGTGGATTGAGGCTAGAGTCAGTGCATCAAGAACCACTTACACACAAATGCTATCCTGAACCGATTCCACTTAGGGTAGCACCAGCAATCTGGCCTGAACTGAAGCTCACAGAGAATCAATGGGGTGTAGTCAAGAGGAAGATAAGATATCAGACCCAACAGAGCAGATAACCTGAAGGCAGCTATCATAGCACCCTGGGCTTTAATTACGTCAGCAAAGCCACAAGCTAATTGCCTCCATGCCACGTTGCATTCCTGCAGTTATTCATGCGAAAGAAGGCCCAGCCAGGTATTGAGTGCATCAAAGTAAAACACTTTTCAGAAGCCTGATATTTTTGTTTTAAATTTTCCCTTTTATTATATCTGTGTCTATCATTATACCATAATGATAGACACTACAAGAAACAAAGGCTTGACATTTTCACTTTATTATTCTATGTAATAAATGACCTTCAATTTCTGAAAGGAATGACAAAATATATTGAACTTTTACACAATATTATTTTATTTTCTGGAGATGTACCTCTAACGCCCCACACCACATCAGGTTATGATTTTATGGTTAAATACTCTTTCTATAAGAAGTAAATATTTGACATTTAATTTTCCCTGAATATTACAGAATGAAAGCTGATTCTTAGTTACTTTTTGCCATTAGAGACAGGTCAAGTAAATTTTAAAGCTGCCAGCTGCATTCAGTAGAAATAGTTACTGTGCTACTAAAACCTAATAATGGGACATAGTGACAAGTCAATAATAAAGTGCAATACAGGCCAACAGCCTTGGTTTTATTTATTTCATATGTAAATCTGAAAATGTTTTCTACCCTTCTGACAAATCGTTCTCAATCAAATTGCAGTAAGTCGCATAGTCATGCTTGAATGGGGACACCAAGGCTAACAGAGAAGGGCTCTTTGTGCTTCATAGCTTAAACACCAATGGCTTGTTTTTCATGATCTACTTGGACAACTTGCTATAGTGATAAATATAATAAGCCACCTGGGAACCAAGCTGGGAAAGACAATAGTCTTTGCTGCAGCTACACTACAGAGACAAGTAATAAAGTTATCTCTTCTCAAACTTCAACCAGACCAACCACACACACCCACTAAATCTCTTAAGTTCACAGGGAGAAAAAGTGTTTCTAGGAAGTTGAAGAATGCCTCCTTTGAACGTATGTAAAGACTTTGACACAGTGATCCCAACAATCAAGCACTAGCAGCTGTCCTTTCTGGGTAGTGGCCACTCCCACAGGACAGCTCAGTCCTTCTTGGATCAGAATGTTAAATCCTCCTTCTTTGGGAAACTGAAGAATTTCTTTCCTGCCACTGTCTGTGACCAGCAAATCACCGTTGGCATCCACACACATGCCAGTGATGCAGCGGAAGTCCTCTGTTTCGGAGAAAAAGTGGCTGAGCTGTTTCCCCAGCTGGCCATCGGTACCCACTGAGCCAATGGAGAAGCCTCCTTCGAAATGAGGCTCGTTCTGGCGCTTTTCGAAGTTCAGGGCCAGGCCTTGGGTAAAGTACACAGTTCCTGCAGCATCACATGTCACAAACTTTGGCCGGACTGCGGAACACAATCGGTTATAGCTGACTACACCTACATTGCGGTCCACTGCAAGGCACCACAGCTTTCCCCCCTCTACGTCTGACACCACAAACTGGCCTGATGGCATGGCAGTAATTCCCCAGGGTTTAATCAGCTGGTTTTTATGGCAGGCCACGTAATGCCCATCCATGGTATAGACTTTCACTGAATTATCATAGTTGTCAGTAACACCAATCAGGCCTTGAGGAGTCACAGCTATGGATAAAGGGATAAGGTTAGGCAGGTCAGCACCAAAGAAGCTCAGAACAAAGTTGTCTATGCTTGCATTGCGTCGGATTTCGCGCGGGACACCTTTACGATTGAAAATCTGGACACGGCAGTTCCCTCGATCGGCCACCAGTATATCACCTTGTAGTGAAACGCAAATGCTAACAGGTGAATTAAACATCCCAGGCAGCGCTCCTTTGCAGCCCATCTTCTTTACAAACTGGCATACTGGTGGCCTGGAACTAGCCCCTGCAGATTCCCCACCTGCATCCATGGACTTTGACTTAAAGCTACTTGGTGAACCATATGTTGTCTCATCTACAGCTGAAACCATGTCAACATCACGATAAAGATCCCCTGGAACCATTACAGAACCACCTGTAGCACCAGAGGGCACATCATCTGCTTTAAACTCCAACAGTGTGTCTAGCCCACCTTTCTCATCATCTGTATTGACTGTGTAAGTGTTTGTGGTCAGACACCCCACTTCTATGGGATTAGAGTGTTCTGCTCTGGCTAGTGTTGGCTCTTGTAGCTGGAACTGTGTGGGTAAACTGCTTCTGAGGTCCAGCTCTTCATCATCACTTCCTGCGCCATCGTCCTTTAATAAAGCAATGTCACTCTGTCTTACCCTCACAGTCAGGTAATCGCAGCGTGAAACCACTTTTACCTCTGCGAGGTTAAGAAGATATGTCTGCTCCTCAAGAACCTGTGCATTGAGTTTTTCCACTTCTCCCAAAGAGGCTGTGAATGTCCTTCGAGATTTTCTGAGCTCTTCCTGAAGATGTAGCTCTGCCGTAGAATACTCTTGCTGAACTGCCCGATACTTCTGTCTCAAGCTCTTGGAAATGTTTTCAAGTGTTGTCTTTTTTTTCTGAATATTGCCCATAACGTCACGGAGGGCAGCCAGTCTACCATTCAGTTCTTTACGGCGCTGCTCAGCTGCCACTTTAATCGGCTGAACTGAGTGGCCTTCATGCAGGTGGCCATCCGCTTTACAGACCTCACAGAGAACTGTGGTGCAGTCATAGCAGAACTGTCTTGGTAGCCGGTTTCCACAGGTCTTGCACATTAGCGCCGCGGCAGCAGCACTGCAGGTCAAAGTGCAATCTATTATTTTCAGTACTGTAAGATTATCTGCCAGCTGGGAGATGCTGCTCATCCTGGAGACCTTGCTGCAAAAGGGGCAGCGGACACCATTGATGGTATTAGCCAACAGTTTCTCCAGACAAAGTCGACACACAGTGTGCCCACACTGCAGGAGTTTGGGTCTGAGTTGATCCTGGTTGTAAGTCTCCAGGCAGATAGGGCATTCGAGAACCTCCCTCATTAGGTCGGGGTCCAGAGAAGAGCAAGCTGCTGCCATTATGGTCTTTTCCCTTGAGTGAAAGAAAAACAAATTGTAATATTTTTCAATTTTGTCAAAAAAAATAAAACAATGAAATTACAACTGACAAAAATCTACATAAAACTATTTTTTGTTTAACTTCTAGTGATTCACAGTAGGGATGAGCGCAGTATATCAGCATAAATACAAAGTTAATTCACTGATATTGTGATAATGTTAAAGTCTAAGGAAGAATATTTACAAGTGTTTTGTTATAATTCCATATATAACAAAAACCAAGTATTGCGTACAGCAAAATTATCCATCCATCCATTTGTCCATCAACCCTTCCAATGAATAAATTGTCACTACATTTCTCAAAAACATACAAAAAGTAAGCTTTTAAATGCATGTATATCTATTTGTAAAAAACAATTTACTTTATTTCAAGTTGTAATAAATCATATTTTAGGTCTTCTGCTATTTGTAAACAAAGCTTTCTGCTACTTAATAATCAGTGTAATGTAATGTGACCAGCTGCTCGCTACCAAAGCATCTCGTTGTTATAACTGTAAGGGAGGCCCTGCGTGTCACACAGTTGGAAGAAACGAACTCAACTTATTTGGACGAGAAATCAAAAACTTACCGACGAAAAGAAATCCTATGCTGAAAGCTGACTGCTGTGTTGAGCTGGTGCTTTCTGCGGGCTGGCAGACATGATGTCATGCATGTGTGCAATCATATGCGAGCATGTAACACTTTGTTACAACAACGCCTGCGCATCAATTGCAGTTTAGAAACTGTCTGCTCCCTTAACTTACGCACAGCATGAAAGTAAAGGCCTCTCTATCTGACAACAAATGTTCACGGTGTACTGAAGGGTAAACACATCGAGACGGCGTCATTAAATATATATATATATATATATATAAATATATATATCCAGGACTGATTGAAACAGGACGTGCATCAAAACAAATGGTATTTATATTCGCTTTTGCGCGTAGATTTGCCTTTTAGCTTTACCTTTCCTCCAACGTCTGATAGACAAGTAAGAGGGTGTGTAGCCACTGACCTACAGCCGCTGTGTGGAGCTGCAATGCTGATGACTTCCTACGCAGAGCCGTAGGTTACGTAAAGCGCCTGCGTCAGAGACCGACGGTTGTTTTGATTGGCCCGTGATCAGGTTTTACACGCCGTGCGTCCATTTACTAAAAATTATAGTGCGGTTTCACCATGTCATAATCCATTAAATACTCAAATAATACCGCAATGTTTTGTGGAGATATTTTGTTGTTCTTTGCAAATAGCCCTGTTTTCAAAGTACAACATGAGGCCATGTTGTACTGCAAATGACGATAAAAAAAAAAATAAATAAAAAAAAAAAATAGTTAATAATCTGGCTGGACAAACTTAACAGAGTTTCAATTAAAGTAATTCTCAAAGGTTAAATTACGTACAAAACTATTTGTTAAGGTGTAACAGTAATGACTGAGAACGGCCTCTAGATGTCAGCATAGATCCACAGTAGAATATAGATAGATAGATAGATAGATAGATAGATAGATAGATAGATAGATAGATAGATAGATAGATAGATAGATAGATAGATAGATAGATAGATAGATAGATAGATAGATAGATAGATAGATAGATAGATAGATAGATAGATAGATAGATAGATAGATAGATAGATAGACTGTAAAAGAAAAAAATGTCTAGATCTGTGGAAGAAGAAGAAGAAAAAAACCTGCAACCTATATTAAAAATTTCACAATAAATCTTGAAGTCCAACCTAACAACCTCTAACTACGGATCAGTGTTTTGCATAAATAAAGATTTCAGGTTTGAGGGGTGGATGTTATTTTTGTTTGTTTTTTTCTTTTTTTTTTACAACTACTGAAAAGGACTTAGCCTAATTGTATTTTGTAACATTGCAGCACACCTACATTTTACAAATTCAAGAAATGTGTTGATTATCTTGCCAAAAGCAAGTTAATCAACACACACAAGATGACCAAAATACAGATTTGACCCAATAAGAAATCATTTCGGCTTATCAAAGCCTATGATTTTAATCACAAGGTACTTGCTGCCAATTTAAGTCCACCAACTTTTAATATCCTGGTAATTGTGTCATAACAAAAAATGCACATCATTAATTTAGTGTTTTTGGTTTTATGTCTGGAAACACTACTAAGAGTGCCTCTGGGTCACTGAAAAAAAATGTACAAAAAACCCCAAAACAAAACAAAACAAAAAAAAAAAAACGTGAATTGACGTAACTGCTAACAAAGAACAAAACAGCCATAAAGATCGAACATAGAACATAAACTGCTTGGAGTGTTGGATCCACCCTTGGTGATTTCCAACTGTTGTTTTCTTACAATCACAGTCCATTGCATCAAGGAGTAATATCTGATAATTTCACACGCTCTATTTTTCTCCTCCATGCTATTCCAGAGGCAACAGATCAAGGAGTCGGAGGCGGAGGGCGACGGGAGATTAAGTCTGTTCCCTTTATCAACTACCTGTTAGCTCTACAGAAGAGCCAGCTGCTGTCAGATGACCTGGTAAATGGCGTAGAGATCCGCTGTGAAGAAAAGGGTAGCTGTCCCTCTGGCTGCCACCTGTGCCATCACCAGGGCATGGTGGGAGGAGGGAGAAGCCGCAGTGGTAATGGTAGGAGTGGGGAACAGCCTTCTCCCATCCCTGTCCTCCTTGAAGTCAGCAGGGTTGTGCCACTCTACAGCCTGATCCAAGACAACATCACCAAAGAGGTGAGAGAGCCACAAATGAATTATTCATTATACCATTAAATATATAAAAAAAAATAACCAAATGAGATGAAGCAAAATAAAACTGATCAAACTGATATGTAGTGTTTTGCAAAAAATACAAATGCTTTGAATATTTATTTTAGTTCCTGACTTTGGAAAAATCTGACTTTTTACATAAAAATGAACAGTGTGCCTTCTATGTATTCAGTCTCTAAACTGATACTCTGAGATAAAATCTGGTGCAACCAATTGTCTTCAAAAGTCACTTATTTAAAAATAAGAGTTTGCCTGTGTTTAATTTAATCTCAGCATTGATATAGCTGTTCTTAGAAGGCTCCAGAGGTTTAATAAAGGGCATTAGTGAAAATAAAGGTATCAGAAAGGACGCAGAAGACAAGCTGGACAGAAAGTTCTAGATAATATTAAAGCAGCTTTAAGTTATGAAATAAAACCTTAAACTTTGAACATCTCAGTGAACACTCTTCGGTCCATCAACTGAAAATGGAAATGGAAATTGCAAGACACCTGAAGTGGGCAAGTAGAGCATTAATCACAACAAAAGTGAAAAGGCCCATGGTAACACTGGAGGACACACAGTGATCTGTAGCTCTGGTGGGAGAATTTGTTGACAGGACAAACATTAATCATGCATCACCGGCCTGTAGGGAAGATGGCCATGAGGAGTCTGTGTTTGAAAAACAGAGCACACACACATTTGTGCCATGGTCTTGGGGAATGCAGCAGATGTGGAAGATAGTGCCAAAAATGAATAATTTTGGTCTGCCTGCAGAACATGTTAGAAGACTAATGCGTGGCTCATGTAGTAAGGATGCTTTATGTCAGCAGGCATAGGAATGCTGGACAGAATTTATTGTAAAATCACCAAAGTTAAATACAGTGTAATTCTTGAAGAAAGTCTGATAGAGGCTGCAAAAGATTTGAGGCTGAGGCAAAGGTTTAACTTCTGCAAAGACAACAACCCTAAACTTACAGGCACAACTTCAATGGGAAGGTTTAGTTAGAAATATGATGTATTTGTTAGAATGCCCCAATCAGTGTCTAGATTGACCTATATTGAATTGGGAATCAGGTTCTCCTCACCATAATTTCTGTCTCTAGAGGTGTAAAGGTGTTGTTGAGCTATTTAGAAGGGGTGCGATTTGGAGGAATGTGAATACTTTTCTGACCACCAGTTTAAAATGTCAGCTTCAACTGGTGGTATTAATCAGCTGTGACCCAGTGTCTTTGATAAAAATAGCTTGCTGGGTCAAATCTGACAGGAAGAGCATTCAGCTGATAATACACTGGAGGATAATCTGCACATACTACTCAGTATTATTGTTGATTGATAATGTTAGGCATCAATATGGTGTATATTTGGGACAGGAACCAGCTATGTCATGTTCTGGACAATCCAGCTGTTGTTTTGATGACACTCAATGTGTTGCATAAAACCGTTCCTGACCATGAGCTGATTGAGTTTTTTCTGCTGAACTCAGGTCTCACATGACCATGTTTGATCAGGTCCCATGGGTCTTAATATACTGTCTTTGGAGTGGAATCAGTTGGCTTGGATGTTCCTTACTGAAACAAATGCACAATTTTTTTCATAACTTGGCAATGGTAGATATATACCTCAAAGGACTTGCAGATGTAGTGAATGATGGTTCTGAAAACTTTTGAGTTGGAGAGGCTGAACATATGGGACAAAAATGTTATGTGAAAATCTTAAAGGGCTACTTTTGCTGGGTACTATATATTATGATATTAAATAAAACAATTTAATTGTAGATTTACTATGTAACTTGGCTACTTTGCAAAAGTAGAGCATTTTTATCATTTAATTATGTGAATGAACATCTGAGTGCTTGGAAAAACAATTCAAATTGTGTTCATCGCTGCTTATTCAGAAGGTGCTCGCACACAGTTTGGCATGTTTCGCTTGGAATGTAATCTAATATAGTATGACTGCGGTGTAACACTTGTAAACTGTGTATATTTTGTTTCCTCTGAAGCATTAAATTAATGTCAGGTGCAGTTGTTGCACCTCACCTATAGAGGGCATGAGTTGGTTAATTTTGACAACTGGAAAGGAGTACTGTAGTACAGGCAGCATAAAAAGATGACATCATGGTTGTTCACTTGTGGGGAAGTCTGTGTGTATGAATGTGAGTGTGTCTGAATGTGTGTGTATCGTTTTTTTTATTTAAAAAAACAAGGATGCACTGCTGAATGTAGCATCATCTTAATAGCTGCATGCTGTGTTTCTGATTCATTCTGTATAAGATGTCTTTGGATTCTTTTTTTTTTTTTTTTGCAATGAAAGTTAATCACATCAGATCTGTTTTCCAGAAGCCTAATTTAGGAAGAGGCTCTGGCTTCACTTGACATTTAGTTGACCACATTTTGTCCTGTTTGTGCTACATTTAGTGTTCGTCTTCGGAAGCTCATGTCTGGTAGATTTGCAATCTCTTGGTGCAAGAAGGGAGGCAAAAACAGGTGACTCAGAAATGTTCAACATCCGTAAAGCATGCATCTGATTAGGTATCTCCATAAATATCCATGTAAATATGGATAAGTGCATTCAGAAAGCACACGCACAGCATTAACCTCTGTACGTGCCTCTCATAACAAGCACCACAGCCCCAAAGAGTAGGAGGGGCAATCAATAGCAGACAACCCATAGAGGGCCTAGCCAATACCTAAATGTTAGGAAGTGCAAAAATGTCTCTTCATCGTGCTGTTCCAACCACTTAACTACCCTTAGTTTTGTCTACCCCAAAACTATCCTTGGTCTTATGAAGGCATGCGAGAAGACGACTGGTACTGGAGTAGACTAAGGTACCCCTACGAGTTATGAGCTGGCTTGAGGCAGGATTATTAGCTTCTTATTGATACCATCAACAACTGCATCATCCCTGCAGCGGTCAGGGAGTACATCACTCTGCCACTCTTTTGCTTGCATTTTCTTGTCTTCTTGGCCAAAGCTGCTGCACATCACAATGGCAGATACATATATTGCATTAGAGACTCGCAGCAACCTGTCTGTCTACACACACAATTGCTCCGTCGCTTCATCTTCATGTGTGCATCTGTCTCTCATACACAATTTCACTTGAGACTGTCTTTCTACTTGGCTGAGTCTTTGGGGAAAGACAGCTGCCATGCTGCAAAAGCTCTCTTAGAAATAAGGCCTCTTTTTTTCCTGCTTCACCCTGAATCAATGGTAGCAATCAAATAGAAGCTTATAAGTTCAGTTTATGGCTAGATGGACTTAGATTCTATCTGAATGTGCATTTCTGTTTGGATAAATGTGTCTGTAAATGCCTTGTATCTGGCTTCAATAGATATGTCACTTTCACTTTGGCTCCATTCCTCGTTCTTTTTTCAGCTGCTGGTATCTTTTCAGTGACCTCAACCACGCTATCTGGCAGTTTGACAGGACACAGCTCTCTCATATATATTCCATGTTAACTCAGATGGGGGTACGGACAATGGCTTTATTGCCATTTCTTTCTAAGGACCTTTACTGGAAATGAAAAGAAACTGAAATGAATATTAAGTATGGTCTACCTACATAAGAGTCATTCTACTTAGTTTCTACATGTTGGAAATTGGGTTTTGAAATATTTATTTGGGCATAATTTGCTGTGAGCTATAAGAGACTAGTGAACAGAGAGGGGAAACAAATTCCAATAGAACAATTTCATAGTCGAAAACATTGGGTGGGATGTATGAGAATTTTTTTAGACCTCAAATGTCTCAGTGACTTTTGGTTTAGTAAAGTGCTGTGAAAACATATTTCAGCATTTGCAGATTTCCTCTTTTTTCTTTTTGTCTAATCATCCTGAAGGAAAATGTATTATGAGACAAACTGCAGTTTCTACCAAGTTAAGATTTTAATCATTCTGGTCCTATCTGAAAAAGTAATCACCCCGATTGTCAAATCATGTGATTAATCCCCACTTCTGGAAGGCTGAATTTAATTTCACAAGCCACACCCTAGCCAGAATATTACCAGACCAGAATAATTGAGAAACACTTAAATGAAATCCATATGACAATATAAAATGGGCTTTGAGAAGTCTAAGGAAATTCCACAAGAGATGAGAAATGAAGTCAATGACATAATGATTCACTGCAAACCAAAGAACCCATACTTCTCCCCCGAAACTCATAATGGTCTTTCTGATATTTCGCTTCATAATCCCATGGAATCTGGGAATATTGTGGTCTGATAAAATAAAAATGTACCTGTTATTGTCTGTTGAAACTAACAGTATTTCTGAAAAAGACACCATACCAACAGTTAAATATGTTCTCAGGATGCTTTGCTTGTTCAGAACCTGCTTGATTCACTATAATTGTAAAATGCTGTTATCTGTTAGAAAATACTGAAATGAATATCTGGCCATCATTTTATGACCTTAACCTCAAGAGCATTTGGAACAATGCTCACAGCACATGAAGCCCACTTTTGAATTGTGGTCTTGGTCAAAAGTAAAAAGATAATTCAGTAAAAAAGAGCGGAGCAGAATTATTGAAAATACTCGTTGCTAGTTATCATTAATACTTGATGATACTTGTCGCCAGCCATGGCACAACCAGTTACTGGGTTTAAGGGAGAATAACTTTTTTTCACAGTGTCAGGATGGTTTGAATGGTGTTTTTTTTCTGTCATAAATGACATTACCGTTTAAATATCATAAAACAATAAATGTTGTATTCACTCAAAATAATATGTGTTTGATAGAAAGCCTTGTTTATGACCTGATATGTCTGACAAAAAAAGCAAAAACAAACTAAATATCCATAATATATCCCCGTATTTACAGAAACCGTAAATATTTGCCTGTGTAATTTATTTGCTAGATTTTGAGATCCTTCAGTGATAACGTATTTCAAAAGAAACATATTTCCCAAGTTGCTCTTTTTTTGGGCTTTGTTCAGACTAGGTCTTCAAAGAATTTGTACTGAAAGGAGTTGTGGAATTGGATTTG